CTGAATGCCCCCGGACTACAAGCCCGAAACCATAAACCTGACAACACTGATGCAATTGCATGCTTGGGCAGCACAGGCCTTTTTTCACCACAGGATCAGCAGAGCTATCGTAGCTGGCATGCCCTGTTTAGGGGCAATGCCTAGTTCATCTGCTGCGCACCCCTGAGCCTCAAACCCGAGCCCTAAACCCTTATAGAGCCATTCTAGGAACCCTTATATAGGGACCCCCAAAAGCACATAAGCGTAAACATTTTATAAGGATATCCCTACCTTATTAGACTTCATTATAAGGGGTTATTTTTGGGGATAATCCTATTCTTATTTTGCTTATGTGCTTTTGGGGGGTCCTATTATAGGAACCCTTCCTTAGACCGTGCCCCCGTAGCCCTAAGCTTTTAAGTCTTGCACACCCAGTCTCCTTGCCTTTGGGTTCAGGGCAGTTTAAGGTTTTAGGGCTCCAGTTTTAGGGAAGAGGCGGATTTAGGGTTCAGAGAGAGGGAGAGAGAGAGAGAGAGAGAGAGAGAGTCCAATACATCTCGCTTGGCCGATCGGGGGTAACCAGTTGTTGTGTCACACTCCCACAAAGCCCCATCCCTAAACCCTAAACCCCAAACGCTAAACCCTGAACCCCAAAGCCCCATAACGCATGGGGGGGCCATGTGCCCGGGGGGTCTCTCTGCAGAAGAAGAGAGACCAACAGAGAGAGAAGGAGCAGCAGCGCACGTCAGGCTACTGACACTCTCCTTTGTAGTTTTGTTTCTTCGGGTTGAAGGTTTTTGGGCTTTGTGCTTCAAGGGTTTATGGTTGAGGGTTGATGGGCGAAATGGAAAGCCTGTTGCAAAAGGGTTAAGGGTGGGTGGGTGCAAAAGAGAAAGATGAAAAACAAGTGTTTGGCTGTCTCTGGGGAGAGCGAATAAGCCGACAAGCACAAGAGCGGTATGATGTCGGCATCCGGGATTCTTTTGAGGGCGCAAGCGGAATAACACGACCCTGAGCCGTAGACTCCTCCTGAGATCGCGAACGCCTCAGGTTTTTTGGGATAGCAGACCCTAGCATTGCCTTTTAGACAGCGCAAGCAGATGAGTATCGAACCGGCTTGAGGCCAAGACCAATCGCATGAGTGCCAAACAGCTGCCGGTACTGGTGCTTCAACTTTGGGGTTGCTGCGGATCAACGAATCTGACCCTAAACCCCTAAACCCTAAATCCCCTTAGCCGTGGCCCTGACGCCACACTCCGAAGGCATGAACCCTGAACGAGGGCTTCTTCACCCCAAGAACTAGACCTCTTGCTTTCACAAGTTCGTTGAGTTTGGGGTTTCAGGGTTTAGGATTTGCGGCTTAAGGTTCAGGGCACTCTGGGGGCGCTCCCGGTTCAGCGTCTAGGGTTTAGATAATCCGAAAAAATGCGAGTATTGTTGGATCGTTTGGGGTTCCAGACTTTCGGGCGACATTCAAAGCTGCAGAGCCTGAGGTTCCAGGAAGACACCTTCGTAAATCGGCAGTCCTAGAGGTGGTAGGGTCCAGGGCGTATGTTGCGCAGGGTTTCCGATCATCGTTTAACTATAATATGATTGAAAGTAGAAGCCGGACAGTTGCAACGTCATACTAGTGCCCTTAACGTAAAGTGTAGGGAAGCCCATCACCAGCAGTTATTATCAGTCCATGTTCTACTTTTGTCATACCCTAAACCCTAAACCACGGACTACGCCTCTCAAGCCCGAAATCCCTAGGCCCCCAGCATTCGTTGCTGTCAGGTCTGCGCCTAGAGATCTGCAGGCTCCTTGGGAGTCGCAGGCGCCGGGTATTGGGTCTCGGGGCCTTACCCCAAAGAGAGCTAAGGTTTAGGGTTTAGGGCTTAGGATTTAGGGTTCAAGGTTCGTGCTTCAGGTTCAGGGTTTCAGATATCGGATTTTTGATTTTGGGCTGTTGTTCGGGGCTTAGAGTTGTGGGGTTTGGGGGGTTTCGTTTCTTGGCGCCTTATGGAGGTCTTGGTTTAGGGTTTAGGGGTTTAGGGTTTAGGGTTTAGGGTTTAGGGGTTTAGGGTTTAGGGGTTTCGGGTTTAGGGTTTAGGGTTCTAGGGGGTTGGAGCTTCAAGTTGGGTCCAAGGCTGTAGGTTTGAGTGTGTGGGTTTTACGTCCGGCTAGAAACCAGTGCCACAGCTTTAAGATGTCAGCCTGCTTGTTTATTCCAACACACTTCAAAACTAAGCAACATTGATCAACGGGATACTGGAGCTTCTGGATACTACTTGAAGTTCCATTGGTAGATACAAGTAGAGCTACACTTGCGGCAACTGTATTGGGATTGGACATATGCAGCATTTTTCAGGCACATGTAGTAAGTTACATGTATCGCGTAACCTCGTTCATCCTGCATTGTATACCGTATTGTAACAGTGTAGGCTTCCTTCACCCACTCGAACTGTGCACCTTCAAACAAACCAGCTACCCAGCCCTTAACCCCTTAACTCTCAACCCTGAAGACCTTTTAGCCCCGACTAGTTAAGGTCAGTTCAGTTGTGCGGCTCAATTAACGCCCGTTCTTTGTCTCCCGAGAAATACAGGCTTGAAGCTGTCCGACATAGCCATAGCCCCTATCATAAATACTCTACACCATAGCTCAAGGCCCTGTTCTGATGATTCAGGCCAGTCCAGTTGAACTGCAAAGTGTATAAGAGAACAGAGATAGATTGTTTAAGTAATGACCACAGCTTCCTTGTTTTCGTCTTTCCTTGAGACGCTGCCGACACGATTCAGCAAGCACAAGGTAGACGATTGTCTGCTTCGGTGGATCTGCATCCCCTGACGCTTGTAATGGCTACTATAGTTACTACAGTTTCTTGTTGGAACCGACCGGTTTAGGGTTTAGGCACCCGCCCCAGCTGTGGCCGTTCAGTTGTGCTTGTGTGGTGAACCCGTGCAAAGTCTGTCATGGTCCGAGGTCCTTTGCTGAAGAGTATACAGCTGAACTGTGAACACATGGGTGCCCCGTTGAACAACGAAGCTACGCAGTCCTGTCGGTTCTTTCTACACTCTCGACGAGTGACCCAAACCGTTAGCCGTAAACCAACCCCTAATCAAACCTTCAGATCGTATCTATACTCTCCCAATATACAAACGTTTCATAATGATTAGGACCACATCCATCAACTGTCATGCATCAACTGTCGTGACAAATGAGTTCTCTTTCGGAGAATCTAATATAGGGGCCTTGGCAATTAGATTAGGGTGCTAGGGCTTGTTATTGATGTAGAAGTAATGAGGAACCAACAACATTCGTGATCATCCAGGCTTCCTCGCAGCGTAGTGTGTACAGGCTCTATCCAACACTGCGCCGCGAGTTTTAGGCTCAGGCTGGCCTCCCGAAGGGAGCCGGATGCCGAAGAGCAAACGAGATGAAGAGATGTTCGTGGGCCGAGCTGGTGTTCATTTAATTTGCTACAAATGTCCTACAAGGCAGGTACACCCTAAGCCATGGAAACCTTAACCCCGAAACCCACCCTGCTGTCCTTTTGCCCTTGCTTCTTTTCAGCCTGCGGCATGTGCGATACAAGCTTCCACTAAGACTTCTTTGCATCTGGCAGTCGTCTCCAACTTAGCTTTTGGCATGTGTCGTTTGGCCTCATACGACCCGCCGCACACAGAAAGGAAAGCAACATAGTCGCAGATGCTACTTGTCAAGGAGCAGGGTTATGAAATGTCGGGCATTGTCACAACCATTTTAATTTCGGGGCTAATATTCACCCAAAAAGAGCCGAAACCCTACGAACACGGCTATGGCCCGAGAAACCCCGAACCCCAAACCGACAACCTTACCCAGAGGCCCCAAAGTAGTTCCTTTTGGGCGTTCGTACATAGAATCCTATACGGTAATCCCAAAAAGGAACTACTTTGGGGCCCCTGGGTAAACTCCTTAAACCCTAACCTCACACGGCCGCACAAACGCTGGAGCCATGGCAAAGCGATTGCCACAAGCTTCCTCTGCGCGCTGCACCCCACGGAAGCTGAGCAGTCGGGCTGCAGAGTGCTTGTATGCACTATAGGTGCCTAAATAATAATTACCAATACTATTTTCGGGGTTCCTTATCATAGTTATTGTATAGTGGGCCGCAAAGCCCTATTCTAGTTATTAATGCCCCTATAGTATCCTTTGGGTATAGGGCTTCAGGACTTCCGAGCCCATGGTTGTGTTTCAGGGTTGTCCGTCTGAAATGTACGGTAGGCCTACAGTTCAGAATACGGAAATGCTTTATGCCCATTTGCCACGGGTCCAGCGGTGGCCTTCAGTATGGGACGTACGGCATATTCCGTCTCATGCCTTAGTAGCTGAGTGGATACACTGTACAGTTTTTGGGATAAGAACTGAAAGTGTACACTTTTGGGGGCTTATGAACTCAGCAACTAAGACAACTAAGATGGACAAGGCATCATCCCCAACCCCATCCGTAAACCGTAAACTGTAGCCATTTTCGGGAGGATTCTTGGCGCCTTTGAGTTTTCGGCTTGGGGTCGCAGCACAGGTCCCGGAACTTGGCCACCACCAATCGAGCAGCACGGCTACATGCAGCTTGAATGACTTACATGACCCAAGTCGGTTTGGCTAGTTTGTTGTTTTAAGGATTGTAAGGTCTAGGGTGTAGGAGTGTTCAGGGTTTAGAGTATATAGGGGTTTACAGTTTGGGGCAGAGTTCCTGAATGGCTCACAACGTGTATGTTTTTTTCGGTCTTTGTAGTGCAGGTCGGCTTGAACCTTGAAAAATAATTTTGCGACGGGCAAGCCTTAAATTAGAGGGAGAGAGAGAGAGGGAGAGAGAGAGAGAGAGAGAGAGTGAGCGAGAGAGAGAAAGAGAAAGAGAGACAGCATGCAGCCCACAGTTCGAGCCTGCAGTCGACTTTTTTAAATCGCGTAAAGCTCCCAGGATAAGAACAGGCACCCGAAACTTGCCGACAATTCCCTGCACTTTTGCTCCCACCTTCTGTTTTGCTGGACTCCGCGCATACAGCATTGAAGCTTCAAGGGGATCCAGTTTCCTTGCTGATTTAAGTCCCCCAGGTCTAAATCCAAAACCCACGGGCCCCCATCACCACCCAAACTGCTTTGTTGGACGCCTGAAGACGTTTATATAGGTCTCCGATGCAGCAAACTCGAAAGCCCTGAACCACGCACATTTGGCCCGAGATCCAGACGATCCCTATATCGAAGCCTCACCCACGCCCTCAACCCCTAAATCCCACATCAAAGAAATTCCTGCGGTGCGACTTGGTCTGCTGGGCGGGTGAGAAAAATCCCACACCCTTAACATCTGAAATCCGAAACCCCGAATCCCCAGAGCTCTGAAGCCTCTAAAGCCCGGAACCCCAATGCCCCGAAACCTTCAACATTCCTGAAACCCCAAACCCTCTTTGTCTGGAGCCACAAAGTCGCATAAGACCCTTAGACTCAGCCCTAAAGCGCCGAAGTGCAGACCCTTCAAGCCCCACTCGTAACACCTCGCGACCCTTAACCCCGACATCTCACGTCCCAAAACTCAGCCCTAAAACCTAAACCCTATGAACCCCAAACCCTAAGCCAGCACAAAACCCCCCCTTGTTTTTGTCACCTTGACTAGGTAGGGCTTTGGGACATTTTATATTTTCTCTTATTGGGCTTAAGAGGATCTTACTTACTAATATTTTTCAAAGGCTTTAAAAGCCCCTCCTAGAATACCCCCCTTGTTTTTGTCATCTTGAGGTGGCCAACATGTTCAGCCCCCAGGGGCCCTCGAATCATGAATCCGGCTTCCACGCGCATCTTGGCCTTCTATTTTGGTTCGAGGGTTCGTTTAGGGTTTAGGGTTTCAGGGCTAGGGTTTTAGGAGGGTTCGTTTAGGGTTTAGGGTTTCAGGGCTAGGGTTTTAGGTAAAGGGCCTCGGGCCTCGGGTTCAGTGCTTCTGGAAGATCTTCTTATACAGGTCCTTTTTTATGGCTTTGGGTTGTAAGGTTGTAGGTGTTCCTCTGCCGACCATGAACGGCTTTTAAATGGCTTTCTGGGGTTTGGGTTTAAGTTAGAAGCTGCCCTCACCCTGTAATAGTCGTATAAGAGGAATATAATAGGGCCCTAATATAATCCTATATAATCCTTATGGTCACTATTACAGGGTGGGGGCCCCTTCTAAGGTTTAAGCTTCGGGGGTTTGGGATTTAGGACTGCGTGGCTGTTGGAGGCCGGGATCTGGCTGGCGAGAACCAGAAAAGCATTGAAAGGCGTTTTCCTAAACCCTCTAAAAGTAAGTAAGATAATGGCCCAACCATGAAGGGCTATCGTTTACATACTTCTGGGGTCTAGGTTGGAGTTCGGAACCGAAATCAGCGGAACCTCTCAGCAAAGGGGACGAACCGCCCCAATCATGAACCGTTCCTTCCTCGTCGGTTCCCAGGTGTGGCGTGGAGCATTCCCGGTCACCCGGACCGGATGCCCCAGCCGAGGCAACCTGCGTGGGTGAAGAGTTTGGCTGGAAGGCACCGGAAGGGACCAAGCCCCAAACCCCTAAGCCCCGAGACCTGAACCCTGAACTCCACACACTAAGCCCTGAACCCTGACCCTGGAGCCTGAACAACCAAGACCTGGCGCTTTTGTTTGTTGAGAAAGGTCAAAACAAGCAGGTTGAGGCAATTCTCAGCACCGGTCCCGAATCTCTACCAAGTTGTGTGGTTCAGGGCTCAGGGTTCGGATCATTTCTAAGTGTAGTTACCGAAGCCCCACTGAGTATGCAGAAACCTAAGTGTGTATGTGAAGTTTTGAGGCCTAGGAAGATGGTGTGCGTACTTAGTGCGATTGCCTCCGTTGCAAGCCCTATCGGCAGCAATATCTTCAGGGCTCTCTCCGCAACCTCAACCAGTCTCCAAAGTTTTGCCAAAGCAAAAAACACAGCGCAGAAGCCAGAATCATTACTCAGACTCTTCCTTAGAGTTCCTTAATATAACTATTATCTTAGTCTCGCCGTCGACACTGTCGCGGCTTGAGGCCTTTGGAGCGACCTTTAACCGACGGAGGGATCAGGCCCTTCAGACGCAAGTAAGAAGGTCTTGCGTAAGCGCGAACTTAGAACTTCAGGATTGGGAAGGTTGGAGCTTTAGGATTTTCGGCGAACATCCTAAAGCTCCAACCTTCCCAATCCTGAAGTTCTAACTTAATCCTGTTAATCAAGCCATCAACAGTCGTTAAAAGAGCCGAAGAGTTGCATCAGAACCGTATGCACGGGGAGCTACTATGATACTGTGGGATGTGGCTACGTTTCATGTATGCGTTGTTGAGCGCAGATGCAGCATGGAAGGCTTGCTATACGCAATGTGTATATACACAGTATGAGAAGGCCTTTGTTTTGAAACTGCGGTTGGGCTCAGGGGATAGAAGGGTTTCGGATGAGAGCTGTTTCGAAGAGATTAGGATGGACATTGTTTTTGAAGCAGGGGTTTTTTCTTCGTGAGATTTCGTGAGTATTATGACCTGGTTGCGGAGGGCAATAGCAGGAATGGAGATGTTATACTCCCAATCCCCAACCTAACCCTAGAATCGCCAAGACCCCTATCTTAACATTGAAACGGGGCACGGTTCGGAGCATGCCTTCCATAAGCCACGTGACTCAGGACGCCGCGCATCAGCCGGCAAAGGAAGCTGCGTCCGCGGTTGAATGCCAACTCCCTGCTGATGCAGTCAGTGCCTGGGCTAACCGGGTTTCTGCTGAGCTGCGGTGGGCTTTTGCGGCAGTTGCAGTTCAGGGTCGAGCTAGGTTTAGGGCGCGTAACCTGAAGACCATGTGTTGCTCGTCTTGGATCCTGTTACTACCATGGGCAAACTGTTTCAAGAATAGCGTCTCACGCAGAGCAGTGGCTTTGTGGAAATCTGAACCAATGTTTGAGTTTGTTGTATTATGACGTGTCGTTTCTCACTGCTCGCTTTGCGAGTAGGTCGGTGTTGCTGGTACTGGTGTGGGTGCTGTTGCTGCTTTTAGCGTTCATGTTTTTGTTCTTCTTGTTGTTGTTGTTGGTGTTGGTGATGGCGGTGGTGGTTGGTTATTGGTGGTTGGTTGCTGGTTGCTGGTTGCCAGTTGTTGATTGTTGGTTGTGGTTATTGTTGTTGCGGTTGTTGCAGTTGTGGTGGTTCTAGTGGTTGCGGTGATTGTGGTGGTGGTGGTGGTGGTGGTGGTGGTGGTGGTGGTGGTGGTGGTGGTGGTGGTGGTGGTGGTGGTGGTGGTGGTGGTGGTGGTGGTGGGTGGTGGGTGGTGGTGGTGGTGGTGGTGGTGGTGGTTTTGTTTGTTTGTACCGCAGTCAAGGAGGTCCCGACGATGCGACAGGTCGGGTGGTCAGCGGATGCGCGGCCGGCTGTTCTTAGACTCTGACAGCACGCAGGGTTTCATGCGCACCAGAGCTAGCAGATGTCCCCTTGTGGACATCGTTCAAAACCTAAGATCCGTAAGCAAGTCAAAACTCGGTGACGGCTGGAAGTAGCCTCGCCAGGTGTGGTTCTCAACAGCTGGTGGTGGTGGTGGCGATGGTGGTGGTGGTGGTGGTGGTGGTGGTGGTGGTGGTGGTGGTGGTGGTGGTGGTGGTGGTGGTGGTGGTGGTGGTGGTGGTGGTGGTGGATGTGGTTGTCGTCGTTGTTGTTGGTTGTTGTTGTTGTGGTTGCTGTCGAGGGAGTTGTTGTGGTCGTGGTTGCGGTTGCGGTTGCGCTGCTTTTGTCCTTGTCCTTGTCCTCCTTGTCCTCATCGTTGCCGAGGGCTTTGCCGTTTCTGCTGTCGCTGTTGCTGGTGCTGCTGCTGGTGGTTTGACTGGTAGTGGCAGCAACAGGAGGAGTAAGAAGAAGTAGTAACTTACCGGTAAGTAGAAGCAGTCGTCGTCGTAGTAGCAGTAGCAGCAGGAGCAGTAGTCGTAGTAGTAGTAGTAGTAGTAGCAGCAGCAGTAGTAGTAGTAGTAGTGGCAGCAGCAGTAGCAGTAGTAGCAGTAGCAGCAGTAGCAGCAGCAGGAGGAGCGGTAGTAGCAGTTGTCAGCGTCGACTTGATGATCGTTACTCGACCACAGTAATCTTCATTCATAGGTCATAGGTTTCAGGGGGACCCAGCACTTCAAGGCCTGAAGCCGGCTGCTCGAAATCTGATGCCCTGTTTGGTGAATGCACACTGAATGCGCCACTGAAACGGGAACTGAGAAGGGAAGGCCCTTCTCGCCTTTCGATTTCCCTTCTCTCCCTCACTGCCCCTGCCCTCCCTTCCCCCCAAACCCTACACACCCCGCGACCCGGGAGTCCAAACCCTTCCTCCCCCAACCTTTCAAGCTCCAAACCCTACACCTGAACAAGGACCTCTACAAGACAAGGGCTTCCAGCAGTCCTGGTGGTGGCGGCCCGAGCCCTTCTGCTGGCGAGGAGTTCCAGGACTTGGCTTCAGCTTTGAGGGTTCAGGCTTTAGGGACTAGAAGTACCTACACCATTCTCTGGGGGTCCTTATTCAGATCATAGTATAATGGGCCCCAACACCCTAGTCTAATTCTTAAGGCCCCTATTGAGGGTGTAGGCAATACGTGTGTTTAGTTAGGTTTCATTTCAGGGCAGTTGTCGGATTTGTGTGTAAAGCTTTTGGGGTTTGGTGTTCTTAGGGGGTGGATAAAGTTGTAAAGGGTTTAGAAAGGACGTTTTGACATGGTTTACATGGTTTGGTTGCGAAGGGCTTTATACGCTTTTATGTGAGCTGCATGATAGCAAGTCTCATGTAGGGTACTGTAGGGTTTAGATCGATCAGGTCGGGCCCACTGCACTGTGCATGAGCCGCCTGAGATGCAGCCGGAGGCAGCTGCGTTCTACAGTTAGATAATACTTGTATATTTACTTGGGTGTAGATGTCGAGCCCAAACATCGACTCTTACAGGGTGGGGGCAGTACCCAAGGTTTAGGGTTTAGGGTTGCTGTCTCGTCACTAGGAGCACAAAATTGGCTTCTTCGTAGTTGCCACTCCGAGCTCCTGAACCAGAGAACATCCTAAGTCCCGAACCCTAAAGTACTATAGGGGCCTTAAGAATTACCTATACTATTTGGGGAATTCCTTATTGTAATTATAGTATAATGGGCCCCCAAAAACCTTATTCTAACTATGAAGGCCCCGATATTACCTTACAAGCTTTGAGCTCTTCAGGCCAAGGCCTCTTCCGAGCCTTGAGCCTGACTCCCCAAATGCTTCAACTTCGGTCCTCCGAAGACGTATACCCGAGTCCCCTCAAACCCCTGTCCGGCCCTCTTCCTTACAGCAAGAAAACGGTTGATGATATAACTCCTGCATTACCTTAATGACCTTAGGCTATCGGAATTATGGTATTCCTTATTATGGATAATGCAGGAGTTATATCATCTAGTGTGGTAAATGGGTGTGAATATCACGTAGAGTCTGTGCCAACAGGCTACAAGCTGTTCGAGTACCAGGCCTCGCTCTGCAATGGGTTTAACATGGGGGCCTGCATAATCACCAAAGTCATTGCTTAATTTGAGTTCCTTACTAAGGTTATACGAAAAAGCAGCCGATTGCACTGGGTTTAATAAAGGGGCCTGAAGACTTAGCAATGTTATTCCTCAGGGTTCCCAATTATAACTAATTTTGTGCAAAAAAGAGGGGGGGTCAGGCCCCTACATTATAGTACCCTTACCGATCCCTTATAGGAGCCCGTATAGACCCCTTTTTAAACAGGAACCCTATTCTGATTCTTAACCCTATATATGTTGAGAGCGGGAATAAAGCAGCTTAAGTCACCCTTGCGACATAGCGGAAGGGTTAGAGAAGTCCATGAATGCCGTTCATACTTTTCAGACAAAGCGGGTGCGTCAGACCCGCTCGCACATTCCGTCACACGTCATCAATTCCCAGGCACATGCTTTTCCGACACTGCGGAGACGGTATGTGCTGTGCTTCTCGACATTCGGCCCAAGCAGCAGTGGGCTTTGCTAAATTTAAAAAATCCCATGTCTCTACCCGGGGGCACGTCTTGCGTCAACATCCCTGACATGTCACTGTTTCAAGCTTCGCGGCGACGAATCGCAGATGGTAGCAGTGGTAGTATCGGCTCTGCAGTGCAACAATGTTTACACGAAGCTTAGACCCTCGAGCCTTTAACCCTCGGCTCTGCAGTGCAACAATGTTTACACGAAGCTTAGACCCTCGAGCCTTTAACCCTAGTTTGTTAGTGAGGCAACGCTGCATGCATGCCACAACTTGTACTTGCTGCCTAGTGGGCTATGACAAAATTGTGTGGCGGTTCAGCCTTGACCACTCCGCGATGGGCATACTAACCATCGTCGCTGGTTGCTACGCCTTGTCTGTTCAAAACAGGACCGTACAGAGCTGTTGAAATCACACGAAACCTAAACAGGCTACGTGCACGACTGAGTCTACTGGTATGCTACTGTAACCCTGCTCGGCGACATGCAGGAGGCAAAAACCTCCTCTCCGTCGAAGAAGCCGTAGACCCAAAACCCCAGACCTTCAACCTAAACCCGAAATCCATGGAACGAAGCTGTCAAAGGCCGGCGAGCGCGATGTCTCCTATGCGCGAGGCTGATGAGACAGCACAGCTTCGCGTCCGAGATGGGTGCGAATTTCCCGGCCTCCCTTTTCGTTTAGAGTTTAGGGCTTTGGGTTCCGGTTTTAGGAAAAAGAAGTTGTGGGCTTCTTGGCTTGCATGGTAGCATGAATCAGTCAAGACATGCTAAAGAAGTATAATGTCAATGTTGATACAGTGCTTCGGGTTCACAGGAGCTTCTGCAGTTTTGCTTTCATGCGGTTTATCGCTTATGGTTTGCATGGGCTTGGGCGGTGCACTCCGCAGCATTCCCTCAAAGTGGAGCAGGGCTTCGGCATCTACGCGAGGCTTGGAGGTTCGGGTTGGCTCAGATTCAAGGTTGAGGTTGAGAGTTGAGGTTTAGGGTTTAGGGCGTAAGGGTTTAGGGGTTTAGGGTTTAGGTTTTAACTTCCAACCAGGTTTAACCTCCGTGCGTTGCATATGAAACTTTGACGCCCTATTCCACATTCCTGACCAACCAGGTGTGCAGCTGAGCTTGATAATAGTGAGCCCACTGCGAACCATCTTCTCCGGCGAGTCCCAGATTGGAACCTCAACCCAATATATACAAATCCCCAAGCCCATCCTAGGCACAACTTGAGAAGTGCACGGCTACTGCCACAACATACATGTGCTGTTTACAAACGTCTGTTTGTATGAGCGTTCGAAAAGCTTTTGCATGCCTTTCTTACACCATATACCCTAAACTCCCAGAAAGAAGCCATTGCACTTTAAAACAAAAACTCCCTAAACCCTTGAACATGCAGATCCTACTGAATGTGCAGTTTCTTGTAATACACAGGCACTTGAAAAGCTCCTCTGACTTGATCGAGTCCGAATGCTAAAAGGGCTCCTGAGCAATGAGTATCAAGGATTGCTGCCACTTTGGCATTACATGTACATGAGCTTCACGAACGACAAGCGCTGCTTGGATGTGATCTGAGCTTGTATCCAATTTGCTGGAGAGCGTTAGCAGCAGTTGACGGGTGCGGTGCAGGCCCTTCCCCATACATTAGCCACACGCAAAAATGTGCTCCAAGTCAGAAGCATGATGGAGCCTGACATTCTGAAAACCCCAAACCACCGCAATGATCAAAATCATAGTGGCGCCGATAAAAACAGAACGAACATCGTGAAAAGCACGGCAGAACTTAAGTGAGTTTGTCAGAACTTTGGGAGCCATGGAGAGAGGTGGGCTTATGTGAAGCCAGAAACTTGCATATCAGAGCATGTCTCTTATGAGGCACCCCTTCGGTCGCGCGATAACGTCACTGCTTGAATCAGGACCCTGACAAATTACAAGTCACAGGGCAGGGACCCATATCTGTAGAATCACATATAAAAGAACCCTGTAAGGCCGTGTTAAATCACATCATGAAAGCCGCAACAAAGTCCTCATGAAACCCTAAAACTAATGGAGCCTCCTATATATCCACAGACGCTTGCTTTTTGAAGTCGGCTCGCAAAGCTCCGGGGAGCTCCGTCTTTGAGAGACGTTGTTTGCCCCGTCGGCCGGCGATCATGGCTAATGCGACGCTTTCCGGGCTTCCGCGGCTTAGTTGCATAGGTTTCAGGCTTGGTACAGGTTTTTTGGGGGTTGAGGGTTTCAGTTGCATAGAACTTAGGCTTTATAGGCTATTTAGGGCGTTTAGCATCGAGAGTCATTGACTTGTGGTCGGTTTTAGCCTTGTTGGATGGTGGCTCAGCACAGACAGAAGGATATGACATGAGTCGGAAACTATTCCCACATGTGCATCCGTGCCCTCAAACCTAAAATTTGCCCTCAGGTCCATAACCCTATAAACTCTGAGCTTTGAATGCTAAACAGCTGAACGCTCTAAACCCTACTCGTAAACCTTAAACCGTAAACCCTAAACCTTTTCAGGTACTGGGGAGAGATCAACGCCATGCACCAGTTCTGTGAAGCGAAGTGGCTCGGGCTCAAAACGCAGATGCGACCGTGAATCCTGATGCTTCAGTCTTAAGCATAATGTGAGTCCCCTGCTCAGATGAAGGGTAATGTGGATTTTTTTGAACAGCTCCAAAACTGTAACGTCTACGTTTTGTATGCGGTCTCTGTACTCACCCAAAGCCCTTAAACCCGACATGAGTAGAAAGCAGTTGCTTCACGTAGGTGAGGGGCTCAGAGTTCAGGGTAGTTAAAGTCTGGGGTTTAGGGTTTAGGATTTATGTTTCGGCCGTTCTCGAAGTCTGAAACGCCACGCAATTACGAAATTTGATGCTTGTTGTGTCAAGCTTCCAGATGGGTACTTGTCAAAATTCGGGCCCCTTGTTGGGTACCCTAAATATTAGGTGCGATATTATTATAAGGACCCAAAAAGGGACCATAATTTTGACAACCACTTAGGTTTTCGCGAATTTGAAAAATGTTTAACCCTAAACAGTAAAGGTCTAATCTAGGCCGAAGCCAGACGACACGCGAGACCTGTGTTGCTCGGATGTTTGATTTGTCCAGTCTTGAAGATTCTGCTGGTAACATACGATCAAAAGACAGGTACTTTGCTGTATTCATATTGAAGCATATAGGGCGAATATGCAAGCCAGAGGCCTACTGTAGAAGAGCCCCACGACCCTAACCCTGTTGATCTTGCCGAGGTATGTCGTGTCCCCCTATCTCGCAGAGTTTTGGAACTCCTTGTGCCTGCGACGGATAGTAGAGTCGTTTACTGGCTTTGGTGCTTTAGGTTGGCTGAGGCTTTAGTTGCTTCGCATTTTCGACCCCGCGACATAGTGCATGCATGTGCAGCTTGTTCGGACTCAACCTTCGTGCATAGAGGTCAGGGACATGATAATGGAGAGCTCTCCAGCAAGGAGCAACATCCCGTTCTTCTGCTTTCCAGCGGCGTACTGCCTCTACCGTGGCCATATCTACGACATGCGCGTGAAGATGGTTTGGATCAGCATGCTTCTTGGGCGTTCATTGGTTGTTTTGCAGAGGCGGTGTTGAAACAGCCTTCCGAGCGGGCGACGTTCTACACTACACTCCACCCTCCCGTGGCATAATTTTCGTACTTGCAATAGTCAGTCCTGTCAGCACGAGCAACTGTGATCCCAAGGCTGTCCGAGGCTCTCAACATGTTTGTGGCTATCGGAGCTCCCGTTGCCACTTTAAAGTATCTGCAGAAGCAAAACCCGGTATTAGGAACTGTCGGCCTGGAACATTCCTGCATAGTCGCAGCCCCCTGAGCGGTCAAGACGGACCCGAGGGCTCAAGACAACAGAACTTGTAAGCAGTTTTGTGGTAGTAGTCGTAGTGGTGCAATGGTAAGGAGTAGCCCTAAAGATATGTAGCCTGTCATACTCTGACAGAGAGGCCCTCTTGCCGATAGTGGTACTGCTATTGCAGCGACCGCGATCATGTGAGCAGTTCTACTTCTCCGTTTAGCGCTCCAATTAGCCGAGGTGCATAAGGAGCCTGGATGTTATGTTACAGTACCTACGAGCCTTGAAAAGGTTGTCCTCGGACTTGAAGATGCGTTGAATCCAGTTGCGGTTGCAGTTCTCTGATCAGAACCCTGAAAGCTAACCCTGAACTAAACCCGGGAAACTCTGAACCCCGAATCCTGAACCATAAGCCCTAGAACCCGAAACAAGTAACCACGAAACCCCAATTCCGGAAGCCTTGACATGAGCCCTAAACCTCGAAAGCGAGCCCACGATCGAACAAGGTTTGTTGTTGGCTTCGGCAGCTTCATGTTCCATGGCACCATGCGTTTCGAGTGGGCCACTTGGTTTGTGGCTAGGAGTTTAGGAGATTTGAACTGATAATCAGGTAAATTATACGTATTATTTATAACTTATAGTGCAACAACCAGTGTTGGGTTTAAGGTTCAGCCTTGAACCCTTAAAGTTTAGCATAAGGGTTTAGGGTTTATGGGTCAGGGGTTGCAGGGTTCATGGTTCAGTGCCGAAGGCACCATTTGTAAGGTTTTGGGGTTCTTGAGTTTGGGCAACTAGATTGCGGTGTTATGCAGGGTCTTATACAAGGTTTTGGGGTTCAGCTTCTAGTTTATAACCCAGCTGATGCGCATGATGCTGGCCGTGTTATCTCGTGTAACTGCTGCCTGGTAGAGCTCAACCCAGCTCATGTGCATGGCGCTGGCCGTGTCGTCTCGTTTAACTGCTTCTTGGTAGAGCTGAATCCAGCTGATGTGCATGATGCTGGACGTGTCATGTCGTTTAACTGCAGCTTGGTAGAGCTTAACCCAGCTGATGCGCATGATGCTGGCCGTGCAGTCCCTTTTAACTGCTGCTTGGTACAGCTCAACCCAGCTGATGCGCATGATGCTCTCCGTGTCGTCTCGTCTAAGTGTAGAGCTCAACCCAGCTGCTGTGCATGATGCTCTGCGTGTTGTCTCGTCTGAGTGCTGCTTGGTAGAGCTCAACACAGCTGATGCACATGATGCTATCCGTGCTTGGTAGAGGTCAACCCAGCCGATGCGCATGATGCTCTCCGTATCGTCTCGTCAACGTGATGCTTGTTAGAAACCCAACTGATGCGCATGATGCTCTCCGTGTTGTCTCGTCTGAAGCTTGATAGAGGCCACCCCCGCTGATGCACATGATGCCCCCGGGTTGTTTCGTCTAAGAGAGGTCAACCCAGCTGATGCGCATGATGCTCTCCGCGTTGTCTCGTCTAAGCGCTGATAGTAGAGCTACACCCATCTGATGCGCATGATGCTCTGCGTGTTGTCTCGTCTAAGGCTGCTTGGTAGAGGTCAACCCAGCTGATGCGCATGATGCTCTCCGCGTCGTCTCGTCTAAGCGCTGATAGTAGGGCTCAACCCAGCTGATGCGCATGATGCTCTCCGCAGCTGATACGCATGATGCTCTCCGTGTTGTCTCGTCTAAGTGCTGCTTGGCAGAGGTCAGCCCAGCTGATGCGCATGAAGCTCTCCGTGTTGTCTCGTCCAAGTGCTGCTGCTTGGCAGCGGTCAACCCAGCTGATGCGCATGATGCTCTCTGTGTTGTCTCGTCTAAGTGCTGCTTGGTAGAGCTCAACAGAGCTGATGCGCATGATGCTCTCCGTGGTGTCTCGTCTTGGTAGAGGTCAACCCAGCTGATGCGCATGATGCTCTCCGTGTTGTCTCGTCTAAGTGCTGCTTGGCAGAGAGCTCCACACTGATGTGCATGATGCTCTGCTCGTAGAGGTCAACCCTGCTTGGTAGAGCTCAACAGAGCTGATGCGCAAGATGCTCTGCATGTTGTCTCGTCTACGTGCTGCTTGGTAGAGGTCAACCTAGCTGACGCGCATGATGCTCTCCGTGTTGTCTCGTCCAAGTGTTGCTTGGTAGAGGTCAACCCAGCTGATGCGCATGATGCTCTCCGTGTTGTCTGGTCCAAGTGCTGCTTAGTAGAGGTCGACCCAGCTGATGCGCATGGTGCTCTCTGTGTTGGCTCGTCTAAGTGCTGCTTGGTAGAGGTCAACCCAGCTGATGCGCATGATGCTCTCTGTGTTGTGTCGTTTAAGAGCTGCTTGGCACAGCTCAACCCAGCTGATGCGCATGATGCACTCCGTGTTGTCTCGTCTAAGTGCTGCTTGGTAGAGGTCAACCCAGCTGATGCGCATGATGCTCTGCGTGTTGTCTCGTCCAAGTGCTGCTTGGTAGAGGTCAACCCAGCTGATGCGCATGATGCTCTCCGTGTTGTCTCGTCCAAGTGCTGCTTGGTAGAGCTCAACCCAGCTGATACGCATGTTGCTCTCCGTGTTGTCTCGTCCAAGTGCTGCTTGGTGGAGGTCAACCCAGCTGATGCGCATGATGCTCTCCGTGTTGTCTCGTCTAAGTGCTGCTTGGTAGAGGTCAACCCAGCTGATGCGCATGATGCTTTGCGTGTTGTCTCGTCTAAGTGCTGCTTGGTAGAGGTCAACCCAGCTGATGCGCATGATGCTCTCTGTGTTGTC